ACGTTCTTTTCTATTCCATTCCAAGACTCTTAATTATGAAGAGTACATGGGGTATTCATAGGTGCAAAATAAATCTAATTCTAATCTAACTAGATCTCCTAATTAAAGCAATAAAATAAATCCTCATGCTAGTAATCTCCTAATATCTTCTACTACTAATAAATAAAAGCAATATGGAAATAAAATCCTAACATTACTAAAATACTAATTAATTGTCTTGCACACAAAGCATCTTGATGCCCAAGTCATCCACTTGCCCCAAAACTCTCGACCGCCCTTATGCGTCGCGCGCCTGCCAGCTCGGGCACCGCCCTCGCCTTTCCTACTCCTCGTGGCTTAGGTCTCTTGAGCGACCTTATCGCACGCGCGCCAATGCGCGCGCCCAGTCCGCACTTGGCCCCCTCGCGCGCGTGCACGCCGCCATCCTTGCCTATGCCTATCGCGCATAGGCATGCGCCCATCCCCTCGCGCGCGATCGCGCGCTTCTCGCCTCGTCCGACCTTCCCGCGCGCGTACGTACCGCTGTCCATTACTCCTATGCCCGCGCGGTCTCGGACACCTCCGTGACCTTCACCCGCGCCCGCGGCCTGTTCGCCCACCGTGCACCCGCGTGCTCCCAACGCTGTCCGCGTGCCGACCACATGCTTACGCGCATCATCGCCCGATGCGCGCCTTTTGCCTATTCGCCCGTCGGCCATGCCCGACCATTCACAATAACCCCTCGCGCGCATCAACCACCCAACATCCACCCCCTGCGCGCCACTTCGCCAAATCATCAAGCGCCATGCGTGTCTACGCCAATGCGCGTGTGCGCGCCCCTCTTGAATGCATCCTTTCTCGCATGCTTGTGCGCCTCGCATACGAGCTCGTGCCCGTCTTTTCGGCCATGCATGTGTCGTTTTAGCCCTTTTCCTGGCCTCATAGGGTCGTCTCGGCTCTTGGACCATCTCATCGTCGGGGCTCGAAACCCACTTACGCATCAACCGCCGACGGCGTTGTGCCGTTCTTCGACCGAATCACATAATCTCTCGGCAATCCGAATTTAAATGAACTTAAACATGACTTGCTGAACATAATAACTCATAATGGTCGGAAATTTTAACTTGACATGCAATGACATGTAAGAGCGGTCCGTGGTTCGCACTATGTGTGCGACCACACCTCTTCGACCAACTCCCACTAACATGACTAAATTCGTCCGAACATTTAAGTTAAACTAAACATGATTTTACACATAGAAGCTAAATATGCGAGAATAGTTCGGAGAAAACTAAGTTATCATATGCGAGCATACAAGCACTGCCCGTGGTGCGCTACGTGCGCAACCACGTTATCCTCGGCCGAACACTTCAAACGTGAAATATCATCCGAACAATAAAGCTAATCTAAGCATGATACTGCTCATAAAAGCTAAGCATGCAAGAGTGTTCGGAGAATTCGAATAAAATCATAACATGATAATATTAGGCACGGCTAAGGCTACGGCTACGCATATAACACGCATGCATGACCAACAAAAATCTAATCTTAATAAACATGATGTTCTCGGCCAAATGACGATGGGACTTACCTCTTATAAAACTCAAGAGGCTAAATTACTCGTACTCCCGAGCTTGGCCGTGACCTCCGCGTGCGTGCGTGCGTTGGCTCGGCTTGCGGCGTGCGGTAGCGTGTGGCTCTCGGAATACTATCGCCCAAGGCTCGCGATAAACACTCCAACCTCACACAATACTCTCTAACTCTCGGCACTCAAGAAAAGAGAAGGAAAAATGGAACACATCTCCCAAACCCCTCACTTATAACTAAGGCCGAAAGCACAAGATGGTCAATGGCTAAAGACAAGTGACGAACATGCTATAAAATGCCGAGACACTACATGCTAAAGGCCAAAATGCCATGCATGACTTTACTTGCCTCAAAACTCACGAGAGAATGCCCGGCCAATGCTCCAACAAAGGACAATGCACGGCCTTCAAAGGACAAAAGACAAAGGGGCACGGATTCTAAGCATGAGGGGAGGGAATCTTGGACAAATTGTTTAGCAAAATGACAAGAAGTGCACGGCCTTCATGTTAGAGGTATGCTGTAAAAGCTGTGTTTTGCAGTTTCTATCAATTCCATT